CACGCTTCCTCATGCTCACACTCTACAAAACCATGGTGAGAAGCAAACTCGAATACTGCTGCCCGGTGTGGAACCCTGACAAGATCAGCGATATAGAAGCTATTGAAAGCATCCAACGACACTACACTCGTCGAATCAGTGGCTGCCAGAACCTTGATTACTGGGAACGCCTGCAGAACCTGAATCTTCTCTCATTACAGAGACGCAGAGAACGATACATCATAATCCATACATGGAAGATGATGAATGGATTAGCTCCGAACGACATCAACATGCAGTTCAAGGAAAGCTCCCGACACGGTGTAAAGGCCACTGTGCCTGCATTTAACAAAAAGGCACAATGCTCAATCTCGACCCATTATGAAAACTCTTTTGGAGTAAAAGCAGCCAAACTATGGAACCTGCTTCCCAAGGAAGTTAACACAATCCAAGTCTTGGAAACTTTCAAATCCTCCCTTGCTAAATTCCTGAAAGGCTTCCCGGACACCCCGCCCACAAAAGGGTATACCGCCATCACAAATAATTCTCTTCTGGAATGGACTCTACAAAAAGATCTAAGCCAGGAGTGATTGGAGGACGTACTTGATACTGTTGTCCAGAAGCGATCCCTGCCGAACCTACCTAAAGTAACCTAAAGTAAGTAAAAGTACTACTGTGTGCACAGTTCCGATGAAAAAACTGTTCAGCAACTCAAAGAACAACCATGAGCTTATAAAGCTTCTGTCGAACGTTTTTACAGAACATGGAATTGAAGTACATGTAGCTACTGATGATGCTGATACCATGGTAGCTAGTAAAGCTTTAAACTTGTCCTTCTACGAAGATGTTGAGGTAAAAGCAGAGGATACTGATATACTTTGCCTCCTTATTCATCATTTTACTGAGAATGACAATGAAATTGTGATGACGACCAGAAACGGCTCACACTCGATCAGTAAAATAGTAAATGCTCTTGATGCCAACATAAAACGCATATTACTGTTTGTTCACAGTTTCTCAGGATGTGACACGGTCAGCAGTATACATGGCTTTGGTAAGGTGAAGATATTGAAAAAGGCAGTTTCTTTTCATGAGGAGGGTCATTTAGCATCATTACTCACTGTGAGAGTTTCAACAAATGAAGTAATTGAAGCTGGCCTCTCCTAACTCCTTGTTTCAACATATCTATGGAAATAAAACCAAGGCACTTGAAACTCTCAGATTTCTCAGCTACAGTAGAATGATAGCAAAGAAAAAACTCAACCCATCAAGGCTACCACCGTCTACATCCTCTGCAACTGAGCATATATTAAGATCATATCTTCAGTACCATAACTGGGTGACACTCGACACTGCAAGTCTAAATCCACTACATTATGGATGGGAGATGAGTTCTGAAGGATACTACCGGCCAATCCCGACTAAAGCTGCGATTGCCCCGGCAGGGATGCTCAACCTCATTTGCTGCAATTGCTCGGTGGAGGTTGAGAACCCTTGTAAGTACTTAAGGTGTTCCTGACGGAAGTATGGCTTTAAATGTCTACCTGCCAATGTCATGGATTAAGTTGCACTAATGCACCCGAAAGACAGGACGATTCAGGAGAATCAAACAACTCTGAGGAAATGGGATAGCCAGAAGTGACCTAATAGTTGCCAATCAAAGACACCATGCTAATAATTCAGGACCTTTTTTTACAGAATTTGATGTGATATGTATATTATTTACTATACTAATATAAGGATCAATTGACAATTGAAAGTAAATTTTAGAATTTGAATACTGATAACTAGACAATGTTTTAATTGTACAACAATTTTGCTAAATTTCCAAATTTAAGTAAAATTTCAAAATTTTAGTAAATTTTTGAGAGGTTAGCCTATAAAAATGAAATTATCTCAATAAGTAAAGATCTGGCGACCCTAAAACACTGATTCGCCCCACATAATGTCACTATTGCGGTCATTTTGCACCCCCTATGGTGCTCCTGGGGGTCTTTATTACGATAGTTACGAGTTTTTCAAGTGCGGTCCTCAGGCTGACATACGCGCCTGAAGAAAATTGGCTGTAACTTTTTTTGCTCAACAGATCCAGATTGGAAACTCTTTGGGGTGGTTCCTGACACTATGGACAACACATTCCTGTAAAAATCAGCTTGTTGCAAATTTTTTCCCAGATGGTCCTGTATTAATGTTAATTGTCCCTAACTATTAGTGTACTTCTTACATATCACCTGTATCAATTATCACTATAAATAGGACTATACTCAGCACTATAACTCACGCAGTAATTATTATGTAAAATTAAAGGAATGCATGCCACGTACACAATAAAGTAGATGTAACCGTGACGCTCTACCTGTAGAGGAATATCATTAGGTATGGAAAACGTCATCAAATGTGATCCACAGATCCATGCATCTGATTGGTTCTGATTCCGGCCGCGGAACATGCAGTATTAATATACTATCAAAGTACGACAATCATTATCAATATTAAGTGTTGGATCATTTGTAACGCATGCAGAGATCGGCTTGATGCAGAAAAGTTGGCTAAATAAATACAGAATATGCGATATATGTAATTGCATGTTACAACGTTACAGAACACAAGCACTAACCTACGAATCCTCCACCTCACTTCTAGATCCATCCTCGGAACCTTCCAAAATATCTCCCTCACACTACAATCACACATCAACTGCAGTGAGATAATTAAAGTTCAAACTCGCGGAATATTTACACCCAAATGCTGGGATACCCACGGTCTGGAGTTCAGCGGTTGTTCTGGGCAGGAAATATGCGTGCAGGCGCTTGTCATTGGCACACAGCAAACATAGAGCCATACGATACTGAGCGCTAGGTCGCCACTGTTTCGCATATCTCTAACCTTACTCTGTAGTTATATCGTATCTTGGGAGTGTACCGGCATATTAGTGTGGTCTATTATTTCAATGCTGTTCGTATATATACACTTTATATATATAAAGTGCTCTTTAGTGTTTATATTATGATATCTTGTTCAGTTTGGCGTTCGTGTTAAGTTTCGTTGCAGGGAATCGTGTGCAGCTCTTTTTCATCCAGTTTACTGTAATTTATATCATTATCATAGTATATATAATTAAATATCCAGTTGCTTAAGATAATATGTAAGCAGATGTTAGTCTAATGTTAGTAGATGTTAGTACAATGTTAGCAGATGTTAGTACAATGTTAGTAGATGTTAGTACAATGTTAGCAGATGTTAGTACAATGTTAGTAGATGTTAGTCTAATGTTAGTAGATGTTAGTACAATGTTAGTAGATGTTAGTACAATGTTAGTAGATGTTAGTACAATGTTAGTAGATGTTAGTACAATGTTAGTAGATGTTAGTACTTAGTAGCACTCCAGGTTGCTCTCAGAAATCACCATGTCGCCGAGTTTCACCCCAATCCAAGTATAGACTAATAGCCTACAACTCGATTATAGCTGATAACAAGTGTATTTGTCACTTAAAAGGGCTCACTTTCTTAATTAACTCTCCCTACTTACGGGCCATTTAATCTAATTGTATCGGGTAACCTGGTTTAAGTGAAGAGTAGTTAAATATCTAGTAGGTGTTTAGTTCGAGTGTAATTCTTATTCACATATAAGGGAAATGGAGGGGCTCATCGCCAGTTTTGTCATTGATGTTTGGGACTTGTTTTTAAATACGAACAAAATTGCAAAAATTTCCGCTGATTGAGGTTTATATCGTTCGCCATCTTAGCCATCAATGATACTGACTCGTGTTACTGGTGGTAAACTTTGTTGCTACTGTTAACTTGTATTCAGTGGCGAAAAGTACCTGTGTTCCCCCCCCCCCCCCCTTCCCGGCCCTTAAATGTTGTTGCCGCCCATCTAAAATTTTTCTAATGTTCTAAAAAAGGTCATGCCTTCTTTTTTGCCGCTCCGTACAGCTTTTTCCCGCCCCCATTGGATCATGTTGTGTATTGTACCCACAAATATTTTTTCCGCGTCGAGCGAACGGTCAAGTAGACGGGATAATACACTAATCGGACGTATTTTATTTTAAAAAAGACCTAAAATTCGGGAAAGCCCCCCCCCCCCCCCCACGTCGTTAAGCCACTGCTTGTTTTTGTTGTTGTAAGTAGTGTTGCTCGTAGTAACCTGTGTTGCTAGTGGTTACCTGTGTTTCTAATGGTAACCTGTGTTGCTAGTGGTTACCTGTGTTGCCAGTGGTTACCTGTGTTGCTAGTGGTTACCTGTGTTGCTAGTGGTTACCTGTGTTGCTAGTGGTTACCTGTGTTGCTAGTGGTTACCTGTGTTGCTAGTGGTAACATTTGTTGCTAGTGGTAACATTTGTTGCTAGTGGTAACATTTGTTGCTAGTTGTGACGAATGACGTAATGCTCATGCTCGATCTGTTTGAAAGAACTTTGTTGTATTCCATTTTACTGTATAGAATGTCTATATAATGGAGATAATTACGGTTGGTTCCGTTCTATGATTGCTATTTTTCTGTTATATCACGGGAATATCTACATATTTTCCGTATATTCTTTTGCTTTTATTGTAAGTATCACAAAGTCTTTTTATATAAATCTTTTGAAGTCTCTTTGCGCAAACTTTTAATTATCTTTTTATCCCATTCTTCGTTGCTCGGTCTTCCTGGTTGAAAGTCTTTTTACTTTATCAAGCTGTTATAATTGATATAATATAAACTTTGCATGGAAGAGATATCGTCAATTAAGGACCACGCACACCCGTATTCCGTGCAGAGCGGATATGTATCTATAAATATCTGGGTATCAGAATTGGCATCGAGACTAAACTTTACAATAAATTACTTTTTTACTCATACTGGTTAAAGTTAAGAACAAAAGAAAAGACAACGTAGCGGAACTTTACATAGTACTGATGAACAATGGACGTAATTGTGTTGGACTACCACGGCATTGGCAGGACATTTTACTGTTGTGTACACTGTACAACTGCTGCCCTTTTTTCCACCTACACCTTGACTTTAGCGGCACAAATATCCTAATTGCGTACGTTTTACAAAACATTTTGTACCCATTTTTCACCTGATGACACACCATCCCGCTCGTTTCAGTATAAGAAATGATAAATAATGGTTTAGAAAGGAGACGCAATATCGCACTTACAGTTGTTATCCTCTTCTTCCTCTACACACCTACTTCCTCCTTCCCCCAGACCCTTAATATAGGTCAGTACACATCTCACAGTGTCAGCCTTGTATCATTTGATGTGAGTTTGTCATGTTTTATAGCTCAGTACGTTTTGGTTAAGTTGGTTAAGTGTTGGTTAATGTGTCATTACGTTTTAATGTGGAGTAAATGTAATGATCGATGAAGATCCCATTAAAACGTCGTCGTACGACACGTGTCAATCGTCCATTATGTAAGCTGCTAAAAGATAAAACACTACTACTACTATTACTACTAACACTACTACTGCTACTAGGTCGGAACCAAGTCCGAACTACACCAGATAAAAAATAGATTGTTTGCTGTGCTCTATCAGTCTATCATGCACATGTTCCCACAAGACTAAATCACTGGCCAGCGAATATTCTATGTGGCTAACAAATAATCACCAAATCCTTTAACTTATAGCAACTTTTCCAGTCTTATTCATGATGGAGTTAAACTGAACAGATTTCCTCTATAACCCCAAAACACTATGATTTCCTTTATTCCCATGTAATGGCTATAATCATATACAGATCAAATAAGAACAAATAATGATGTGGCCATCTTAATTCTACACCCATAACGGATTAAAATAAATTACAACTACTTTAAACCGTTTTAACAAAAGAACCCTCGAGATTTTTAACACTTCTCCAACCTTTCTCTCAGGACTCCTAACATACACAGAACTAAAAGACGAAATAGAAGCGTTCAGATATGCTATAGATGTTATCAACGAGAATATCACCCTGCTCTCCCAGACTAAACTTACGCCCATTATCGTGGACATGGGCTCCATAGAGGACTCACCTAGTAACATCATCAGAAATGGTGAGATCAACTTGCTAACACTGGATCTGCATGTATTGCATGTTCTTTCGTGATCTTTGTTTGCTTAATTACATGCTCAGAAATATGAATCAATATCCAACAATTATGATGAGTGTTGGGTGACGTTTGGTATAAAATTGATAAACTAATAATGGTGGTTTCAGCCGCAGTCACCTTAAAATAAACTAGTGTAGAATCTTACGATTGATGGTTGTCATGTAGACATGAAAGATGGGTAGCCTCGACTCTCGAGATACCTCGTTTTCATGTATACTTGAATAGTATACTTGAATAGTGACAACCATCTTACAATCCCACACTAATAAATGTCCATGTAACATGGACCCGACGGCCGACAGTGAGGTATGACGTACCCTGAGCGTGTTAATAACCTCTCCTCTTACTCAGTGCTGGACCTGGTTAACAAAGAAGTTTCAGCTGTAGTGGGCCCCTTCAGATCCTCTCACGCTCAGATAGCTTCATACATCATGAGTGAACTGGAGATACCCATGATAACTCCTACATCAACAGGTTGGTGATAGAATATTCATTATTTCCATTTCCCCTCCCTCCACCAGTCGCCCTACACTGAGGTTTTATACCCAACAAACTCAATAGAAGTGCATTATGCCAACTATTCTGTGAATTATAAGATATGTTTCATCTTTACTGTCCGGAAATTATTATAATTCGCACTAATCACCAGATCAAACTGTTGATTGCACGCCTGTGTGTGTAATTATTGCTGCTGATTGTATTTACATCTAGCTAACCGCTACATAATCAGTTAATTACCAATTAAATCTGGACACATCATCATTTCATCAGTGATTAGATGGGAGGTGGGCACGGCCGGCACAAAATACCAGATTTTGAAATATTAATCATAGAATAATAAACAGGTTTTAACTAAAGTAACTACTTTCTGAGCCCTTGGTTAGGTGTTGATCAATCTTTCCGTTCTGGTTACACCAACTATCATGTGGAACTAGTGTGTGGTGACATTGTGTCGACTAAGAGGACTGTTATCCTGTCATGAGTCAGGGAAATACCTGCACCGAGTGGCCGTTATACTTACACGCGGTTAAACGCAACTGTAGGCCTCACGGAATGTGGGCGATGGAATGAAATCAGTGAGGAGAGAAATATTGAACGGAAACATGAGAACAGATAATGACGTGTTTCTTCAATGGAAGTTTAACTTCCGATTGCAAGCGGAGGAGTAATTCCGCTAATTTCGATGTTTGTACAGCTGTTACCCAATCAGTACCGTAAACCGATGACGGTATGGGTAATGGTCGCCGAAAAGATGCTAAGTTTGATGATATAACCCAAGCTTAGAGCTGAAATTATCTTATGATAGATTAAAGATTCAAAATGTGCAAACCGCAAAACCACGATAAACCAACTATTTCCTTTTGGATTACTTTCCAAAATCTGCCATTAAAACAACCTATCCCTCAGATCCGTTCCTTAGGAATCCTCTGTGGTCGGACTTCCTGTTACACATGCAGCCTTTGGACGAGCACCAGAGTTTGGCTCTACTTGACCTGGCTAAAGACATGGGTTGGAACAGTGTGGCGCTGATAAGCAGCATGGACAGTTACGGTGAGTGTGGGCAGCTAAGTTTGCATGTTGTTGCTGCGACAATAAATCTCCTGTTAGGGGATAGGTTGTTCAAACCGTTTCGAAGAGGTAAAGGGTTTCTCATCTAAATGATTGCACCTTGGCACACAATGTATTCAGGAGAATTAGGGTTGCAGAAAGCTACAGGGCTTATTAAAAGTCTAAATTTTAATTTTTGAAGTTGTTACCTAATCAGGTAGGGTATTGAATAATTTCCCTTGCAAATATCTAAAATTATAAATATCTCCCCTTCTCTTTTGGGTACGGCAGAGTATGTGAACGAGCATTGAAATATAAGAAAAAAGAACACATTTCTGAAAATATTTTGACAGGTATAAACGGATTGTCGACATTTCAAAAGTATTCCAACGAGCGGAAGATAAAGATAGTGGCTAACGAGATGATTCCTCTTACTAATGACATTGAGAATATTGATGTCAGGTAAGGAAACACTTTAACTTAATTTTATTAACTAATGAATAGTTTTGTTAGCATAATATTATTCAATTGATCGGGTACAGTCAGCTAATTGGTCAAGATATTTTGGCTATGAGCCAAAGTTAGTGATCGTTTCCGTAAGCATCTATAGAAATATATACAGTAGTCCAGCAGCTCCGAATTTCTCTAACTATCTACTCATAAATCGTTTTAAAATTCTGCTACGGGAGTAGTATTTTTAACCCTATTACTGTTTTAAATATTTACGAAAGCATAAGATTACTATAAACGTCAACAGACCATCTGAAGCATTTTTAAACAACAATCATGTTCGAATTTGTGATTATCACGTTGTTGCGACAAAGGAAAAACCTACTCTTTAAAGGAAAGGTAATAGTCAAAGAGAAAGTTTTCCCTTTGTCGCAACAATATGATAATCGCAAATTCGAACTCTAATCAACGTTAATGCGATTCATTGATAAGTTTCCTATCCAGGAATCATAGTAATTATACTTTAAGTATTTGTACGTGTTACAAGTTTCAAGATTGATTTAAAACATACTTAGTTTACTAACTAACTAGTGGACTCCCTATCTGACCAAGCTATAATTTCAGTAACCAAATGTTGAATCTGAAGCGAAGTGAGGCGCGTATCTTTATAATGAACGTGCACAGTGGGTACGCTAAGGTAGTTCTCCGTACGGCTGCAGCTATAGGGTTAGTCGGGCCGGACTACGGGTGGGTGGTTACTGATGGGACTATAAAAGATGCGGTGAGTTATTAAAATAATGATGACATTGAGAGTAAAAATAAATGAATTTGACAATAAATGAGGTACAGATAGAACTAATGAAGGAATCATCCACACGAAAGCAGCTCGCATCATAGCTCTGATTTAAGGCGAGCTTAATGATTTCACCATTTTTAATCACTTAATTAATTGATTGATTATTTAATAATTCTAATACCTCTTAGAAAATGTTAGTTTGTTAGTTTACAATACGACATTACAGGCGAACCTACTGAACGGGACTACAAACACGTTTGACGGCTTCACTCAGGGGATGATCGGGTTTATGTCGAGCATGTCAGCCAGCAGTAAACGTGACGAGTTTCTCGCTAACTGGCACACTGATTCCACGGGAGGTGAGGGACATACATCACGTGTATACATCACGTGTATACATCACGTGTATACATCACGTGTATACATCACATGTATACATCACGTGTATACATCACGTGTATACATCACGTGTATACATCACGTGTATACATCACGTGTATACATCACGTGTGTACATCACGTGTGTACATCACGTGTGTACATCACGTGTATACATCACGTGTATACATCTTGTGTATACATCACGTGTATACATCACGTGTATACATCACGTGTATACATCACGTGTATACATCACGTGTGTACATCACGTGTGTACATCACGTGTATACATCACGTGTATACATCACGTGTATACATCACGTGTATACATCACGTGTATACATCACGTGTATACATCACGTGTATACATCACGTGTATACATCACGTGTATACATCACGTGTATACATCACGTGTATACATCACGTGTATACATCACGTGTATACATCACGTGTATACATCACGTGTATACATCACGTGTATACATCACGTGTATACATCACGTGTATACATCACGTGTATACAATATACATCACGTGTATACATTACGTGTATACATCACGTGTATACATCACGTGTATAATACATCACGTGTAAACATCACGTGTATAACTATAATATACTTGAATTCTAGTAGTCAGTACAGATTATAAGTCTAAGGTGGCTGACATCTGGAATATTTCGTGTCAGAACTCATTAGTCATTGTTAATAAGTTGTTAAACGACTCGTTAACAATTGCCTTGTCATTGTTCAATGTCCACCTTTTAATTATATAACCACGAGTGCCCAGCAGTGCTGAAAAGAGGAGACAGCAGTTTTGATTAATTACACAGTTCATAAAAAGATAAAATAGTGATAATAACTTACAACTTACCACAAGATCTGCACACGAGGGATGGAATAACATTTTCGAAAATTTGCATTTTAAGATAATTTGAAAGATATTTTAATGCCATAGATTGATTCTTTTGTGACAAACTCTGTTTCATCACATTAAATATGCTCGGTAAAAATAAAGGATTGTAGTGCCCGATCAACATTCTAGTATTAGAATAATCTTCCGATTATTCTAATACTAGAATGTTGCGTCGAATGGTTGTTTAATAACGAGTTCTATTTAATTGAAAGAGTTGAAAACATTATGGAAATTTTGCACTCAGAGAAGGATGTAGTTGATCGCCCTGATCAAGAAAAAAAGAAATCAAGTATGTCGTTTGTGACCAACAACTAGCAATTAATGTATGCAACTGCGCAATGAAAAGCAGTTGCATTTCTAGTTTTTCATAAACGTTGCAAATGCAAGATCGATTTTGAAAGTTGTGGATCACAGTTAAAGGGTGTCTCCGACTGGTTTATTGTTTTAATGTGTGTGTGCTATGAACTGTGCTACATGTTTTTGTAAGGCTTGGCCGATCTGTTTTGATTGTTCAGCTCCGCTGTGGGAACAGAGATAATTCTTCAATGTTACCCTGGATGTGTAATATGAAGTTATCATGAAGTTACCATGAAGTTACTATGAAGTTACTATGAAGTTACCATGAAGTTACCATGAAGTTACCATGAAGTTACCATGAAGTTACTATGGAGTTACCATGAAGTTACCATGAAGTTACCATGATGTTACCATGAAGTCTCACAATACTAATCGTTTCATTGTGTTAAGTATGCTAGCCCAGGTCGATGTGCTTCAATCATAGTATTCCATGTGTTTTAGCGTCTTATTTCGGATTTCAATAACACTTTATCCTCTGTTGTGTACAATATATAATTAATTATCTACAATTAACCAATTATCTACAATTAACCAATTAAATAACAATGATTAACACAGTGTTTCTCAGTTGAAAGTAACGGATCCTGGGCTATATCTAAGTGGGGTACGGAGACCAAAAGTTTGCAGCTTCAGGTGAGGCATACTGATCCCATAATAGTCACATACTGACCACATAATAGTCACATACTGACCACATAATAGTCACATAATGACCACATAATAGTCACATACTAACCAAATAATAGTCACATAATGACCCCATAATAGTCACATACTAACCAAATAATGGTCACATAATGACCCCATAATAGTCACATACTGATCACATACTGATAACATAATAGTCACATACTGATTACATACTGATCACATAATAGTCACATACTGATCACATAAAAGTCACATAGTAGTCACATACTGATCACATAATAGTCACATACCACAGTAAAATAGGATATCTATAATTTACAGATAATCACATACCAAGAAATCATTGAATAATCACACACCGAGAGGGCAGTGAGTCTATAGTATATATAGTAGTTGCTGTAGTTGCTGTAGTTGTACATACATACCCCAAAATATAAATTGTAAACGTCATGTGGTATGTAATAATATGTAGTGTGTTACAGTGTAACGTACACTACACTACACACGGTGTGTAGAATGCACTAGTCTAGACTTATGATATAAAACATTGACGTAAACGCTTTATCGGCTGTCACACAATGGTCAAGTAATATTATTACCCACTATACGGTACAAACAACAAATCTGAAATCAACCAAATCATTAATCAATAAACGTGAATCATGTCGCATTATGTTTTTTCATGTTATTAATCTGTAAACCTAATTATTGGGGTCATAACCATAACATGATAATCACTTACAGATAATTAACTGGTCACTAAATGGTCACTAAATGGTTACTGACTAGTCACTAACTGGTCACTAACTCACAGAGTCGAGCCAGTCTGACGTACGACAGTGTGTGGGTGATAGCACACGCTCTGGACCATGTAATCTACCAGAGTAACCTTAAAGTGCTCCCTCCTGATGTGGATTACTGGTCCACTCCTGTCAGGAGCTTCAAGAACGGGACTATGATTAAAAACAGCATGCTGAAGGTTGGTGGTATTGTGCCAAGTGTTTTTTGTTTACTTTTCTGCAGGAAAATGAAAATTACGACGTAAATTGAATCATCAAGTTATCATGGAGCTCCGAGCCATCCAGAATGTTTAAATACAGATTGTTTCAGCTGCAAAAGTTCGAGGGGCTAACGGGGGAGATACAATTTGATCCTCAAGGTGGTCCTGTGAAGAAAATGTACGATCTGGTAAACTTCAGAAGCAAGGACGTTGTTAAGGTACTATTTGTTGAAAACAGATTGTTGACTAAAATATGAATGAGCGCGAGCAACCAGCTTTAATGTATCAAACTTAGACCTTTTGAAAGGAATGTCCCCAGTTTGGCACTGCTATTTCTCGAAACTACTGAACACTGAACAACCTGCTAGGTCGGAGGGTGGACGAAAGAAACTGGGCTCGTGATGATAGCAAACGAGACGATAGTTTGGAACGGTCAGTCAGAGGAGATCCCAACGAGCGCAGTGAGAAGTCTGAAAGGAACACGACTCAGACTTGGTATCACTCAGGTGGGGAGAGGAGCTGTGGAGATGAGAAACAAAAAACTGCATTTTTGTACTTCTGAGTTAAAATGCTATGATTGTGGCCAACGAAATACTAATTTGAATAAAAATAACGATGCATTCTTAACGACTTGATCACATTTTAGGAGCCGCCGTTCATCATGATCGATATGAACTGCACTGCGAAAGATCCCAAGAACAAAGATTGTTACTCAGGACTGTGCATAGGTACAGCTAGTACTAGACTAGTCTATTACTAATCTATAACTCCTTTTAAACTAAGATGGTTCTCCACTTTTGACATGCTCCAGCTTATATAACACTTACTCCAGCAATACATTTCTACATAACTCTAATAATAGTTCTCGCTTAATTTTTTAATCTCAATTTTGTTATTTTGATTAACGACTTCAAGTATGAAATATCACAGAATTGGTGGAACTGCTGGCTTCTATCTTGGAATTTGATTATGATTATGTGTTGTCGGAGGACAACAAGTTTGGTTCCCCTGAAGCTAATGGGACATGGAACGGTCTGATCAAGATGCTGCTTGAAGGGGTATGTGGACACTGGAGCAGGAGTGCATGCTCAGTCTTGCAAATAATTATTATATTTCAATCATTAGTTTAAGTTAACTTCTTCAATTGTTCCCATATCGCGAAATATTTCAGAGAATTGAATACAACTCCTAAGTTTACTCTAATTGATAAAAATTGATTTTAACATTGATATTTTTCAGAAAATCGACGTTGGTGCAGTGAATTTTGCGATGAACAAAGCCAGAGAAAGTGCTATTGACTTCACCATGCCATTCATCAATACTGGGCTTGTGATGACGACCAAGATAAAGGAATCAAAAAGTGACCCTTTCTTCTGGACCAAACCTTTTGACATCGATTTGTGGTGAGTCTTCAGTTTTTATGCTTTAGAGTTTAGACCCAGAATTCAGAGAAAATACCGCGTAGAGATACTCTACAGAAAGTGGGTTTTAAAAGTAAGTAATAGTTTAATGAAAGATTTGTTGCAGAACACCATCTCGTGAACTTATAATACAGACCGAAAAGTTAAATAGTGATATCCTAAGTTTTGCTGTTTTGGATGTTAAGCAAGGCAAAGCGGGTTTAATTTTATAATAAATTTTGGAGAGTTAATATTACGATGACCATGACCACGAATTCTACACGATCGCAGTTTTTAATGTACGACGGCAAAAGAAAAAGACAAGAATTGCTTTTATTGTCAAAACTAGCTACTGTACATCAATTCAACATAATCAATTTTAACCGATTTTATTTCGCAAGAACGGGACTGAAAAATTTTTTATATATAAAAACTTCACTAAAAAAACAAAATGAGATCATTATATATATATGTATATATTCTAAAACCTGCTATGAAATAAGTATATGAAGTGGAAGAAAATCAGTTTTTTATCTAAGCTTTTGGAACGAAGTCCTCTATGCACTCAGCCTCAAGACAGGACATTTCCAAGGAGGAAGGGTTTCTGTCCCTAGTTTCGGGAGCCACAGGGAGGTACGCATCACCCTTAACATAGCATCTGTTAATATTGGGAATGAAGACTATAGCCCTGCACAGTTCCAGTCCTTCACATTTGGTCACACAGGCCTGGAAGTTAGCGAGACTGTTATAGTAGCCTGGTGACAGCTGAGCCCCGGGAAGGACCTTGTTGAAGTACCTGCAAGAGTTGACGGTCGGCTTTGTGCAAATCTTTGGTGGTTCAGTAGGTGCTGCAGTTACCACTTTAGGTGGCTCAGTTACCACTTTAGCTGGCTCAGTTACTTCTTTAGGTGGCTCAGTTACCACTTTAGGTGGCTCAGTTACCACTTGAGGTGGCTCAGTTACTTCTTTAGGTGGCTCAGTCACCACTTTAGGTGGCTCAGTTACTTCTTTAGGTGGCTCAGTTACCACTTTAGGTGGCTCAGTTACCACTTTGGGTGGCTCAGTTACTTCTTTAGGTGGCTCAGTTACTTCTTTAGGTGGCTCAGTTACTACTTTAGGTGGCTCAGTTACCACTTTGGGTGGCTCAGTTACTTCTTTAGGTGCCTCACAAAGAGGAGGGCAACTGCTGACATCTTTCTCGAGTTTAGCACACTTCTTTGCGGTCCGTTTATCCATTGTCTTTGCCTCGATGGTGCATCCTTCAAGCATTGCCTCAGACAGATCAGTTGGAACGTAACCTTCCTCCAAACACTTCTTTATAAAAGAAGATGAGGGCTTTTTACAAGCATCTTGCTCATCAGGTTTATTCAAACAAAGAGGAGGGCAACTGCTGACATCTTTCTCGAGTTGAGCACACTTCTTTGCGGCCCGTTTAGCCATTGTCTTTGCCTCGATGGTGCATCCTTCAAGCATTGCCTCAGACAGATCAGTTGGAACGTAACCTTCCTCCAAACACTTCTTTATAAAAGAAGATGAGGGCTTTTTACAAGCATCTTGCTCATCAGGTTTATTCAAACAAAGAGGAGGGCAACTGCTGACATCTTTCTCGAGTTGAGCACACTTCTTTGCGGCCCGTTTAGCCATTGTCTTTGCCTCGATGGTGCATCCTTCAAGCATTGCCTCAGACAGATCAGTTGGAACGTAACCTTCCTCCAAACACTTCTTTATAAAAGAAGATGAGGGCTTTTTACAAGCATCTTGCTCTTTCTTTCCGCCAGCCTTCTCTTTCTTTCCGCAGGCTACTCCACCCAGCGCAATAATGAACAGCAGGAATACTGTGGTTCTCATCTATTGGAGAATATTGGTTAGCAAATTATATGTTGTAATCAGTTTCAAAAAAAATTTCAACATATTTCATTAATGATCACACGCTTATATTTATTATTGGTAAATTGCAATTCAGAGTAAAAAATAACGATTAGCACGAATGGTATACAAAAATCAAGCCTTCACTCAACTGCAAGAGTGATGGTAACTAAGAAATGAAGTACCTAATGTTACAAATTTACGACTGACCAGATTCACAACAGACTTTTTATTTTATTGCTAGACAGAGAAATGCCGAAAATATAGAAATCCACCCGATTTGGTAATAAGACAAGAGTTGCTATTATTGTTCATGCTAGCTACTGTACATCAATTCAACAAGATTAATTTTGACGGATATTATTTCGCAAGAACGGTGATAAAAGGCTCTTTTCTTTACAATTTGGTTCAGGAAGGTGACAAGTAAAGGGAAAGTACTTCAAATTGAATAAACGGTTAAGAATTGTAAATACAATGTCTCAATGTTCCTCAATATAATATCTCAATAATTCAAATATCATAGGTCTTTAACTGTAAACATTGACTGTAAACGTCTGCTGTATTCAAACCAAAAAGTGTCCTGCCATCCATCAAGCCCACTCTTAAATATCCCCAGATAGTATAAACAATCTCCCACTCGTTCTAGCAATCTTTAAACAATTCCCAAACTATCCTCCTAGTAACCAAAACAGAGGTGTTAAAATGCACCCTCTGATAACCAAACCAGAGATGTTAAAATGAACTCTCTGCTCCCCAAACCTCTCTGCTCTAAACAATTCCTTAACTATCCTCTTTGTAACCAGAACAGAGGTGTTAAAATGCACCCTCTGATAACCAAAACAGAGATGTTAAAATCAACTCTCTGCTCCCCAAAACTCTCTGCTCTAAACAATTCCTAAACTATCCTCTTTGTAACCAAAACAGATGTGTTAAAATTCACCCTCTGATAACCAAAACAGAGATGTTAGACTGAACTCTCTGGGTTCCCGTACTGTAGTGCGACACGTACACTAGTGCGAAACCTTCAAGATCGACACTGTCGCATTAGAGTACGCTCCCTGGACCGTAGTGCGACACGTACCGTAGTGCGACAAAGAATTTTCAAGGCCGACACTGTCGCACTACAGTACGCTACCTGGACTGTAGTGCGACACGAACTTAAGTGCGACAAAAAACTTTACACATTCAATAAAACTTCTGGGGAGTCCGGCCATGAGAGCATCGCATTGATTCCAGATCCAGTGGGTGTAGAGGAGAGATCAGAGGAAGTTTTTGTTCCGACCCAGGTACGTTCGTACAGTGTCAGTAGTGTCGTTCGTCAGATTTAGGCGTCCGGAGCAGGTCTTATCAGTGCATCGCCATTTGATCTTGTCGTCGCGCTTCTTATCCAGGCAGTAGCGGTATCCGTCGTGGATAACGTTTCTTAAACCAGTAGTGCGTCCAGGAATGAAGGTGATTGTAGAAGACATGTTGATGTTGTTCGATGCACTCTCTCTAGCAATCTCTAACCAATTCTTAAACAATCTTCCTTGTAACAAAAACAGAGGTGTTAAAATGAACTCTCTGCTCCCCAAAACAGAGGTGTTAAACTGAACTCTCTGCACTACCCTGCTGTACTATATGTCGTACACTCTCTTCTTCTTCGTAGGGGGCAGTGGTCTTTACTACTAAGGAATAGATCAAAACCACTAAAAGATAGAGCATTGAAGCCCTGTGCTCACCCCGGTAAAGTTAATCTGTGAAGAAAGCAAGGTTAAGCCTTGTCCTCTCCACATTTGGTAAAACGTTTTGTTGCTTGTATGAAGCCGATGATCCTTGGTAATGAGAACTTGTCCACTATATCTGTCACACTGAGGTAGAAGGAGTCAAAGTATCCTCCTCGCTGGTAAGACCATTTCGGGCACTGACCAATAAAGTGGTTCATTGTCTCCTCTTCCATGAGACAGTGTGGACAGGTGTCGTACACTAATAAATTCCCTAAAATACTACGCTAAAATACTGTTTAATATCTAGTAATAAAACTGCTAAAACGAGTAAATAACAACGGGACTGAAAATGTTTTAAAAAGTTGAAAACTTCACTTAAAAAGACAAAATGAGATCATCATATATATATATATGATGATCTCATTTTGTCTTTTTCGCTCTTAACATATATATATATATATATTCTAAAACCTGCTATGAAATATGTATGAAGTGGAAGAAAGTCAGTTTTTTATCTATGCTTTTGGAACGAAGTCCTCCAAGCACTCAGCCTCAAGACAGGACATTTCAACGGAGGAAGGGTTAATTGGTCCATAATTCTTGGGGATCGGGGACACAGGCTTGTAAGCATCGCTCTTAACATAACATTTGCTAAGCTTGGGAAAGAAGACTATAGCCCTGCATTTTTTCATTACTCGACAGAATTTCACACAGGCTGATAGGCTAGGAAGCGATGTATAGGTGCCTCCTGGAAGTACTGCTCCGGGAAAGAGTCTATCGTATTTCGTGCAAGTTTCGATTTGCGGCTTCGTGCACGTCTTCGGTGGCTGAGACGTTATCTTGGGTGGCTCAGTTGCTTCAGTAAAAGAAAGATCTGTCAGTTGGTTCCTACAAAAAGGAAGACAACTGCTGACTTGTTCCTCAACTTCAGCACACTTATTAAGGATCCGGGGTGGCAATACCTTCTCCTCGTAGGTGCATTTTTCCCATCCTTTAATTTTTGTCACATACCCCTTCTTCAAGCATTTAAACTGAAAAAGAGATGTAAGTCTTTTACAAGAAATCTTCTCTTTCTTTTCGCCAGCTACCACTCCCAGCCCAACAACCACCAACATGAAAAAGACGGTGGCTTTCATCTATCAAAACATATGGGTTAGTATTCCACTTGTAGTTATCAATTGTTTTAGACACTCTATTTTTTGACGGGTTATTTAAGTACCTTAAAAGACATATTTATAACGTACGAAATGTGGCGGTTTTCCGAAAATTTCGCCATATTTTCGGACCGCCAAAATTTCGGTCGTCGTAATAGAATCCGTCGCATTATCTTTTAACTTATTTCAATGACTGTGCCTTCACTGCTTTATTTTGTTTCTAAAAAGTAATATCAAGTAAAATAAATAAATAAATTCTGGCATCTTGGGACAAATTATCACCACACCAATGACGAATTGAATGTCAAGCAATACAGTTTAAATTTGCATTAAAATACATGTATGTGCTAACATGAAAGTCTTACAGTCTTAATACAGACTAAGTTTGAACATGATTTTACTTAACGGGTGATACTCGTAAAATATCTGTTCCATATATTGGACCGTCGACGAGTCCAACTCGTCCTGGTAGGTTGTAAACCTACAAGATTTTACCGAATTTCAGAAATTTCCTCACTGCTTACTGTCACAAAAAATGATGAAAAATACCCTTATTTTCTGTGACGTCCGAAATTTGACGGTTTTTGTTCAATTTCGCCATATTTTCGGACCGCCAAAATTTCGGTCGTCGCAAATTAGGCCGCCATAAATATGTCTTGTAAGGTAATACTGAATCTTAGTGTTTTCAAGGTAACATAACCTTATATATGAGTTAAATGTGGTTTTGGGTAACATTCTCAAACAATTCCTGGTGATTCACGCCTAATAGAGCGACACTCATTTCAATGATGCCACCCTAACAATGATTGTGGTACAACAAGCTGTTTGGATATATCTTGTATATAGTATGAGTTTCTAAGGTATTGGACGAACAATGCCGATACGCGACAAGTTAACACGAACAACTCTGATCGTGTGTGTACAAGCTGGAATTGTACTTCAAATAATTGCGTATTCCAGCTTCATAATTTTTAAGAAATATTAAAATGACCATAGCGATTAAGAAATGGTTTTGGCTACTCCAGTACTCATCACTGACACTCCAGGCTTCACAGCTCATCATTTTCGCTGTCAGTTTCAACTTTCATGAGATCATCACGTGGCAACCTAAGTCTAGATGTTTGTTAACTTGCTGATAACTTGCTGAGGAATGTTCGCGATCGGGCAGTATCCAGATAGCCCGACTCCTGTTCGCGAACAGTTGTTTGAACGACTTCTGATACGACTCATTTTGAACGACTCCTTTTGTGAAACTGTAGTTTGCTTGCATCAAGAATCAAGATACCTTACTAGCTTGCATCAAGTTATAACTTATAGTATGGTAGGTAAACTGTGCTACACTTCAGTCTGTTACTATGATCTGTGATAAATTTAGATTAAATTACAATTTGTTTGCGATGATGTGAATCTTGCTTGATTCAGTGCCAAGGGGTTCACATCATCGCAAGCACGTCTATGTACTGTAATTATTATGCAGTCATACTTCCCACAGAGTAGATCAGTGAATCGGGCAAATGAACAAATACTGAGCATACTTAACGATGATATATCATCAAAAGAGGTTGTTCAAGCAGTGGAAACACTTAAAGAACGGTAAGGCGGTTGGACTAGATTGTTTACTCAATGAGCAGCTGAAGTCCGCTGTCCAGAACCACTGCGCTCTCTCAGTGTTGGTTAAGCTCTTTAATGGTTGCTTGGACCTTGGCGTCTATCCATGGAACACTACGATCGTGAGCCCACTCCATAAAAAAGGTTGTATTTACGACCCTGATAATAACAGGGCCATTGCAATAGGGAGCAACCTTGGTAAACTGTTTTCGACAATATTATTAGATCGATTGTTAAACTTCAGAAAGGAACATTGTCCGGACACAGTAAACCAGCTTGGCTTTTGTATGAACGCCAAGTTTTATCCTAAGTTTTACTGTTTTGGATGTTGAGCAAGGCAAAGCGGGTTTAATTTTATAATAAATTTTGGAGAGTTTATATTACGATGACCATGACCACGAATTCTAAACGATTGCAGTTTTTAATGTACGACGGCAAAACAAAAACAGACGTTTTATTTTATTGCTAGACAGAGAAATGCCGAAAATATAGAAATCCACCCAATTTGGTAATAAGACAAGAATTGCTTTTATTGATCAAACTAGCTACTGTACATCAATTCAACATAATCAATTTTAACCGATTTATTTCGCAAGAACGGGACTGAACATTTTTTTCAAGTTGAAAACTTCACTTAAAAAGACAAAATGAGATCATTATATATATATATTCTAAAACCTGCTATGGAATATGTATGAAGTGGAAGAAAGTCAGTTTTTTATCTATGCTTTTGGAACGAAGTCCTCCATGCACTCAGCCTCAAGACAGGACATTTCCAAGGAGGAAGGGTTTCTTCCCAGAGTATCGGGAGCCGCAGCGAGGTACGCACCACTCTTAACATAGCATCTGTTAATCTTGGGCATGAAAACTATAGCCCTGCACAGTGCCAGTCCTTTACATTTGGTCACACAGGCCTGGAAGTTAGCGAGAGTGTTATAGTAGCCTGGTGACAGCTGAGCCCCGCCAAGGACCTTGTTGGGGTAGGTGCAAGAGTTGACGGTCGGCTTTGTGCAAATCTTTGGTGGCTCAGTAGGTGCTGCAGTTACCACTTTAGGTGGCTCAGTTACCACTTTAGGTGGCTCAGTTACCTCTTTAGGTGGCAGAGTAGGTGCTGCAGTTACCACTTTAGGTGGCTCAGTTACCACTTTAGGTGGCTCAGTTACCTCTTTAGGTGGCTCAGTTACCACTTTAGGTGGCTCAGTTACCACTTTAGGTGGCAGAGTAACTTCTTTAGCCGGCTTAGTAACCTTAGGTGGTTCTGTAGAATAGGGTTCCGTCACATCAGGTATATTCAAACAAACAGGAGGGCAACTGCTGACATCTTTCTCGAGTTGAGCACATTTCTTTGCGGTCCGTTTAGCCATTGTCTTTGCCTTTATGGTACATCCTTCAAGCATTGCCTCAGACAGATCAGTTGGAACGTAGCCTCCCTTCAAACACTTCCTTCTAAAAGAAGATGAGGGCCGTTTACAAGCATCTTGCTCTTTCTTTCCGCCAGCCTTTTCTTTCTTTCCGCCAGCCTTCTCTTTCTTGCTGCCAGCCTCTTTGTTCTTGCCACAGGCTACTACACCCAGCGCAATAATGAACAGCAGGAATACTGTGGTTCTCATCTATTGGAGAATATTGGTTAGTAAATTATATGTTGAAATCAGTTTTTTTAAAAATTCAACAAATTTCATTAATGACCACTAGCTTATTGCGAAAATTGCAATTCAGAGTAAAAAAATAACTACGATTAGCACGAATGGTATACAAAAATCAAGCCTTCACTCAACTGCAAGAGTGATGGTAACTAAGAAATGAAGTACCTAATGTTACAAATTTACGACTGACCAGATTCACAACAGACGTTTTACTTATTGCTAGACAGAGAAATGCCGAAAATATAGAAATCCACCCAATTTGGTAATAAGACAAGAGTTGCTATTATTGTTCATACTAGCTACTGTACATCAATTCAACAAGATTAATTTTGACGGATACTATTTTGCAAGAATGGTACTGAACATTTTTTAAAAGATGAAAACTTCACTTAAAAAGACAAAATGAGATCATCATATATATATTCTAAAACCTGCTATGAAATATGTATGAAGTGGAAGAAAGTCAGTTTTTTATCTATGCTTTTGGAACGAAGTCCTCCAAGCACTCAGCCTCGAGACAGGACATTTCAATGGAGGAAGGGTTAATTGGTCCATAACTCCTGGGGATGGGGGACACAGGCTTGTAAGCATCGCTCTTAACATAACATTTGCTAAGCTTGGGAAAGAAGACTATAGCCCTGCATTTTTTCAGTACTCGACAGAATTTCACACAGGCTGATAGGCTAGGAAGCGATGTATAGGTGCCTCCTGGAAGTACTGCTCCGGGAAAGAGTCTATTGTATTTCGTGCAAGTTTCGATTTGCGGCTTCGTGCACGTCTTCGGTGGCTGAGACGTTGTCTTGGGTGGCTCAGTTGCTTCAGTAAAAGAAAGATCTGTCGGTTGGTTCCTACAGAAAGGAAGGCAACTGCTGACTTGTTCCTCGACTTCAGCACACTTATTTAGGATCCGGGGTGGCAAAACCTTCTCCTCGTAGGTGCATTTTTCCCATCCTTTAATTTTTGTCACATACCCCTTCTTCAAGCATTTAAACTGAAAAAGAGATGTGAGTCTTTTACAAGAAATCTTCTCTTTCTTTCCGCCAGCTACCACTCCCAGCCCAACAACCACCAACATGAAAAAGACGGTTGCTTTCATCTATCAAAACATATGGGTTAGTTTTCCACTTGTAGTTATCAATCGTTCCAGAGAATATTTCTTTGACGGGTTATTTAAGTAATATTAAAGCTTAGTGTTGTCAAGGTAACATAACCTTATTAGTAGTGTTGAGTTAAATTTGGTTTTGTGTAGAATTCTCAAACAATTCCTGGTGATTCACGCCTAATAGAGCGACACTCATTTCGATGATGCCACCCAAACAATGCTTGTGGTACAACAAGCTGTTTGGATGTATCTTGTATCTAGTATGAGTTGCTAAGGTATTGGAAATAAAATAAAGAAAGAAAAAAAGGATAAAGTTAAATCACGAACTGAAGTATCCTCAAGAGTAACGATCAGGCAAACAGATGTTGTTCTCAAGATTAACGATCATGCGAACAGATGTTGTTAACTTGAACTGAAACTCTGATAACTGTAAGGTAAAATATCTCCCGATGAAGTTACAACTACAGTCTAAACTGACCCCTTTCCAAGTTGTTCCGGAAACAATGCCGCTACACAATCCAAACAATAAGCTAGACGAACAATGCCGATACGCGACAAGTTAACACGAATAACTCTGATCGTGTGTGTACAAGCTGGAATTGAACTTCAAATAATTGCGTATTCCAGCTTCACAATGTTTAAGAAATATTGAAATGACCATAGCGAATAAGAAATGGTTTTGGCTACTCCAGTACTCATCACTGACACTCCAGGCTTCACAGCTCATCATTTTTCGCTGTCAGTTTCATAAGATTTAAGAGATAATCACGTGACAACCTAAGTCTAGATGTTTGTTAACTTGCTGATAACTTGCTGAGGAATGTTCGCGATCGGGCAGTATCCAGATAGCCCGACTCCTGTTCGCGAACAGTTGTTCGCGAACAGGGGTCGGACTATCTGGACACTGCCCGCGATCGTGGTCCTGTTCTTGTTAGGAAGGAATCCTCTGTAACATGTGGCTCACTGGCATGCCAACTACAAGCGTGTCACTGACACTATCCCCTGGGCCGCCTCTGTCGTATGGTATTCAGGCTATATTTTTTCTCCTGTTCTTGGAACGTAAATTCTGTCTGCTATTGCTTGAAAATTAGGGCTTAGAGTTTTGCGATTTAATGTAGTACTCATGCAGCCAGCTTTAAATGCATCAAATTACATCGAGCTTTTCATAACGTTTGCAGTAGCAGAAAATGGTGAATAATTGGTTATTTTTGAAGATGTTGCATCCCTAACCATCTTAGTTAAATTGGAAAAGTTATTTTATAATTTAGATTGGTTGACGGGCGAGGAGTTGTGCTTAGTTAAACGTATACAATCTTAGCACTATTAGTTTGTATACAATATAGAGAGACTCATTCTGGTGTTGTAATCTCCAACAACGTGAGCGGAGAGTAGAATTATAAGTGACAAGAAGGTGGGAGCCGGCCTCCATGAGTGTACAATCCATAAATTTTGTGTAACATTCTCAAACAATACCTGGTGATTCACGCCCAATACAGCGACACTCATTTCGATGATGCCACCCAAACAATGCTTGTGGTACTTGAAGAGGTGGGGTTGAAGAACCAACAAGCTGGTTGGAGGTATGTTGAAGAACAATAAGCTGGTTGGAGGCGTGCTTGTGAATGATTAGAGAAAGTTGTTCTTCTCTCCAGCATTATAAGTCTATAGCTAGTTAAAGGGGTACTGCAGTAACATGTTGATTGGAATTATAAGTAGATTTTGTACTTAATTTTAAGTAGATCCAACTTAATAATTATTTACAATAAAAACCGAATGTATCTTGACAAATTTCCCCTTCATAACCATAGATCTTATGACCTATTTTAAACTTAAATGAGAACGCTCTCTATTCCCAGGTACGCTATCCTCGCGTTTGCACTGCTCATGGTTCTCCTGATCTGGTTGTATGATCATATGTCCCCGTTCGGGTTCTACGGTCGGAGGATGCACGCAGCTCTGCGGTGCTCCTGTAAGTCCTGTGAAGCGTTCAGATGTAACAAGGAGCCGAGTGGGAGTGACGAGGAAGATGAGTGTTTGTTTGAGACCAGACTTTGTGATCCTAGCGAGAATAACGAAGGTACCGACTTTACACTTTACAGCTGAAGTTTTACTTTTTGACGATTTCGATATTTAAAGCCTGTAATTCAAGAGGGGATTTGGACGCACAGAAAAGTGCTGTCTGCCAAATTTGTTTGTTCTTATTTATATAGATTATATACATCCATTTCGATTTCTGTTCGGAAAGACTAAGGTATTCTAAGTATGAAATATGAATAGATCATTATTTCGGAGAAAACTCTATCATCAACTACAATTATTTTCAGAATTGATGAATGTGGGGAACTCTCTGTGGATGATAGCGGCCTGTTTGTTCAGCATAGGACCAGTCGAGGGAGTACCACGTAACATGTCAGGCAGAGTTATTCTAGCAATGTGGTGGTTCATGATCCTCATCGTAACGGCTATGTACACTGCCAATTTGGCAGCCTTCTTGACAGTGACACGGATGGAGAACGGTATAAACTCAATAGTTGACTTGATTAGTCAGGACAAGGTGAAGTGGGGGACGGTTAACGGAACAAACGCCCAGATCCTCCTACAAGCTGCTAAAGCCCCTGATCTGGTCGAGGTCTACAAGAAGATGGTAAGTTGACGTAGTCTCATAACGGTTCATCTTTTATACGATTGGTTAAATTGCCACTGTTCACTGCTCAACACAAACATTGAAAATATTATATGGAATAAAGTAAGTTAAATAAAAACAATCATGGTACCTTGATTTGAGAGATGGGTTAGGTGTTGAGGAGACAACATCATCAGTCATCTTTTTATTTCTGTCGAATCTGCATAGGAGCATATTCGCGACAGCAGCGTCTTCTCCTGAAAACAAATAAAATCTTAGCATCTAAACAAATACAAAATATCTTTAAAGATCCCCTTATAAAGATTTCTCATATCAGCAAACAGTCAACTCGGTAGAAGAAGGATTCGAGAAAGCCAGGAACGAGGAATATATATTTTTCTACGGTGGCGCGATTGTAGCGTTCGAGGCGAACACTCAGCCTTGTAACCTGCAGATTATTGGCGAACGGCTCTTCTCTTTCGGGTACGTTAACTTTTAAAAGTAATTATAGTACTAGTACTACATACACGTGACTAGAATCTACACTAAACTCCAATTTTCCACGTCCATACTGATTTATATCATTCGAATTCGAAATTACTATTCTTAAGAACAACTATTATAATCCCCTAGCCTTGGTCAGTAATAACACGGTTTACAATTTTATAGCTTAAAATAAAATTCCACGTTCTAATTTGCCAATCCTGCAGGTACGCGTTTGGGTTCCCACCCCAGTCGCCCTACCTAGAAACATTTAACTCTGCTCTGCTGAACCTGAGTGGCAGGAATGAGCTAGACGCTTTGTGGAAAAAGTGGAGTAAGGGAGATTGTGCTCAGAAAGGGAAGAAATCCTCCTCGTCTTCCTTAAACCTGGCTAATATCTACGGGCTGTGTTACACTTTCTTTGTGGTTATAGCAGTGTCTGGAGTCATCCTCATTGGGGAGATATTGTATGAGAGTATTATGGATGTCAAGAGATTTAAAACGGTGAGCAAATTATCTTACTCCGGTCTGTCTATTAAAAGTGGGAATTTTACTTATCGATAAGACGGCGACGGAAGTTGCGGTAAACACCGATTATGTCGATAATGAAAAGATAAATGCGCCAGTAAACACTAAGAAAATGACGGTAACTAAATCCTTACTCCAGACGTTCTTGAACGCGCTAAAGTACAGACTGGTTTACATATGGAAGAGACCAGAATACCAGATACTAAAAGATAACGACGGTGGTTCCAAGAGCCCAAAGTCAGAAGAGAGGGGGGATATTACATCCTACCTGCCGTCTGCTGTGGAATGTGACGCTAAACCTAAATCTATCAAATCCGAGGACCTGTCTTTCCAGTTTCTACCCATCAGTATCGGACACGGCCAGGTAATCAATCATAATTGTAGGTTTTTTTCCAGAGGCAGAATTTCTTGCAAACATAGTTTGCTTTTAGTTTGGTTGGACTTTTTAACAGTTTCACATTGTTCAAACTATAATTTCGATAACAATTCTTTTTTACCTTGCTTACTTGTGAAATGTGTGTTTAACAGACTTTATAATTCCCGATCTTGTTGAGCCACGTTGAGTTTAACTGGTATGTAACGCGTTTATTTCAGAAACAGAGGCACCCCGACACAAATGTACCATCCATACAAGATCAGGAAAAACTCATCCCGGTACGTCGCCCAGCTGAATTAGAATAAGCATTTTAAAATATGATAACCACTTATATTGACCGATATTATAGTTGTTGAGAATGAGTCGCGCTAAAATAGTCATTAAACTGCAAATTCACAGATTGGCTGAGCGATAAGTTACTAACTGCTAAATACCTAAATACAAAATTGTAGAGGAGAATAATTTTCCACTTGACGATACATATTGAAACGTCTGAACTAAAATTTCCCAATTAGGTTCCAGGACACGAGTACAGACCCAACGGGTTCTCAGTCAGCCAGAAGTCCAGTAGTATGGACCGTCAGCCGAGTCTTAAAGAAGCTCTGCTGAAGCAACAAGCTATGCTGAACGACCCTCTTCTCAACACCAAGGAACCACACATCTCGTACGTTTCCAACAAGCTCCACCCCTACCACTCCCTCCCCCTCACCTTCTCCTCTCCAGCTGACAGCGACAACTCAAAGACAGGCAGCATGCCCAGATCAGTGCACAAGTACCGGGGCAGGCACCCCAAACACTCCTCCAGAAGTCCATCCGTTAAAAACGACCACCCCCAGCATAGGTACGAGGACCTCTTTGACCGAACCCTAGAAAGGATGACATCTCACAGTCACACCAACGGGGACGGTGCGTCCGAGAGGAGCAGTAAGGCAAAGAGAACCGCTCCCCTCCTCAAGGGGGCTTCTCTCTCCACCAGGTCTCCCAGTCCCATGTACAGCTCTCAGGAGAATGTTATGAGTGACACTGATGAGCTGAGGACGGAGAGTGATGTCTCTCCCCCGCCTTGAGCATGGGGGTAAACCCCGCTCAGGTAGGGGTGTGTCTCCCCTCCTTACGGGGCACGGTTACTGCTATAAGCATGGACTGCATCTTATCTATTCAGATATTACATACTGCTGGTCGATATTGTCTCACCTATTAATTTACCCTAGCTCTCTTCTGTACCCCTAATTTGGTTCCGAACACTAAACTTTCACCGTGGCTTTGACTCACGACCGTGGTCACAAACTACCTTGCTAAACGGATATGGATTGATTTTTGAACTGAATTTGTCATTGTATGATTGGACGCATAGTATTTGATGTAGCGTACGTGCACCATCACTTTAACAATCTGGAATGGTTATCAAAGACTGATTTCAAGTGGAATTTTCCGACATGAGTTTCGTAACAGACGAATCTATTGGTTCAATATTAGGTTAATTGTCTTTCACAGCTTATAAGTAAGAGGTGCAGGTTTTGAGTTTTATTGCAAAAAATCAAACTACAGACTTTTTAACTATATGCGGTGCACATTGTACTTGATATCCAAAAACTTACCGAATTTTATGTTTTTATGATAAAATCATAGTTTTTAATCAACATGACAGCTTTTTAATACCGAACGTAGAGGAAACCAAATCCAAATTTAACTCTTCAAAGTTCATACCTTAAATCTTCAGAAGAATGACATTACAGACATGAATATTTTACTCAAAGTATATTGCACATAACTTATTACTTATTACATATTGCAGTCAATCTTGCTTTGCTCATAAAATAGGTCATTCTGAGCTCCTCCTTTTACCTCGGGATTGCCATGATGACTGTGCAGTCTCGGCACATGGTATGATGTTAGGTAGAACTGGAAGGAGACGTCATCTCAAAACTAGAAGCGATTATGAAGATGGCATCGTTAGTCTAACAAATTAGTGCAGACAATTTTGGCAGTAATCAGTCTAACAAACACATAACATAACGATAGGAGAGTCGTTTGTATTGGATGATTTCCATCACAAACAAAACCGATTACGGACAGCAGATTTGGTAAAACTTAGTCAAACTTTCCAAAAATGTTTAAGAGATCTAAAAACGGTAATCGTTAAACACTATGTAAGTTACCATTGGTTACTGTTAGCAAAATGTAATAGAAGTAGCTCCGAAAGTTGAATAAGAAGAATTTGAATAAAGTGCTATTAATTGGTTAATTTAGTACCTTTAGTGGGTCTCATTTAATCATTAGCTCTAATTAAAGAACCTCTCACCCTCTCAAAAAACTTCGTTTGGAGATATTCCTTATTACGCTCTAAGTTATTAATTTTCCTTGTGTTTGAATCCTGTCACTTTTTAACTGTTTTTAGTCTTTGTTATTTTCGGCCGATTTCTGCACTTTTACACTGGGTCATCATTTATAATTTCTGGGATTGAGACGACTTGTATCAGCATTTAAAGAAGAGTTTGCTTGTCTGACTTACTTCATTAGACACTTCTGGTCAAGAACTGAACAAGAACCACATTCGAAAACTGGAACATCTGAATGACTCCGCAACCCAGGAATCAACTACTCAGTTATTATCGCTCAATAATCGGTTTGGTATCGACGTTACATACTTTATTATATTTTTTAAAAAAGCTGATTTTAGAAACCAGGGAATTAAAGTTACCCTCCTAAGGCTAACATTAAATCGCTGATTTTATTTATATATATCACTTTTAGTTTTTTTTTTTACTTTCTTTTCCTTCAAAACATTTCAGTACATTGTGCAGAAAGTTGGAGATGAAGCCGTAGTACGTACATGTAGCATTGCACTGGATCGAACTTGCAGAGTGTGGTTTCCTCCAGTCTGCGCCGCGCAGATCGACTGGAGGAGATTGCACTGTGAAGGCTCCGGTGTAATGTGATATGTATGTACTACAGCTTTACAAATTTTGGAAGCATGTAGGGATATATATCTGATACCAATCGTATATACTAAAAATACTCTAGCACAATTGTAACTGCAGTTTTACAGAACTCTAAATGCTTAATGAACACTCTTGCAGGTACCACCCGTATTCACACTCAGACCTGAGTTTAGTCATTTTCCGATACGAGATTTGGGACGGGTTCTATAAACAAACAAACAAACAAACATTAATTGCAGTACATAGACATTTTTCGATAATGTTTAAATACATCAATTACTAGAGGCAAGAGTTTCAAAAAAGAAAGCGATTAAATCTTGTAAAATTGTTAAATCTTTAAAAATCTATGTCTAATGTTTATTACTTGCTCCCCTCACGCAGTTTAGAGACAGAATCACAAATTGAGTAACACGGCAAAAATAATTGCACTTGCCTTGGATTCTATAACAAATCTAAAACATTAGACACTCTCAATTCTCCACCTTCTGCACCAACCGCAATTTAACAGGAACCCTGGAGACAGCACATCTCCATAGCAAAAGGATACCGGCCCAGTTTGTCAGGAACGGCAGGTTTGTAACCTTGCTCCTTTACCACGCATCTCTGTGTCCGGGGTTTATACACCACAGCTCTACATCCCACCAACTCGTACCGGCACAAGTCCAAACATGCCCCAAAAGAAGAGATGTCACTCCGGGAACCAGACATGCGGGCTCCAGGCAGGTTTCTGTTGATCAGGGTACACTTCCTCATCAGTTCCACCAGATCCTCTTCTGGGATTGACAAGGTCGGGGTTACCATGAGGGTTGCGCTTAGTAGTAGGATAACGAGATTCATCCTTGTAATTTGTTATAACTTAAGTTATGACATTCAGAAATAAAATAAAAATGTAGATTAATGTATATTCTTGCGGCTACTTAGAGAGGATCACTGTATAAGTGTTAAGGTGAACACTGAACAGCCAACAGGCAATCCATCCAACAAGAAATGTATGGTATGGTACGATGTCGAAAAACTAATTACATTTTAACAAACAGAAACTTCAACCACTGATTCATAGTCTAAAGATATCAACAATTAAGAACATTTTAGTTGCAATCAGGCAAATCATCAATCGAATCTATAATGAATATTCATTATCCTGGAAATCTAAATGAAAATCGCAGCCTAAGTTCAACTTCAAACAGCAAGATCACAGATTACTACTAGACGATATTCCGACAAACATTTGGTTGGTACGTAATATATTAGCCAGCTAATAAAATTATCAATTTTGATATCAGACTGGGCCGGGAATGTCAAGTATCATATTAATATTATGAATGTGAAAAAGTAGGAAATGTGATACAATGTTCTGGAAATTAGGTTAATGATATCAAGAAGGTTTCTAATCAAGATAGGAGGGTTAATTTTCTTAAACATTAAATTAAGGATTTTTCACGAAAACGTACTACCTTTAAATCCAGTGAGCTGCATGATTGGACCACTGACCCAATACCGATAATTAAGTTAGGGACATTATTTAAATGATAACGGTAAAAATATGCGCTAATACAAAATTCCGCAGAGGTGGATATCAAAAGGAGGTTAACTGGTATGTGATCGTGCAAGATAATGTTATATAAACATAATTAGACGTCAACGTGTAAATGATTTGGTTGAAATTAAATTTATGTCGGCAACCAATGAATAACTCGTGTGTGTGCACATCGGTTAAAATGCACCGCTCGAATTATCTGAGTCAGTCGAATCGAGCGTCACCTTAGTTGGGTTTAAAGAAATGTCTGAAACTTGAAACCAGCTTCACACAATCAAGTGTTAACGGTTGACGTTACCGGGTTCCCCCCCCCCCCTCCCCTCCCTCAGTAATAACAATTTACGATTATTGCTGTTATAGGTGCTAAAAGTACGCGAAAGTTATTAACTTTATAGCTCATGTGCACTGCCACTATTTTGTATAGACACGAAATGTTGCTGAAATTTGTGAACATTAGCCGATACTATCAACGCTTACCTTGGCCTTAGCAGCAGTGTACCAACCGCAGACACCACGGTATATTCGACTCACAGTATACTTACGCCCCTAACTCCCTAACGTTTAAGGGGGCATACACCAAATCTGTCCAGACCAAATGACCCCATAGGCAGTTCAGTGACCTTCTAGCGCACCGTTTCCACACCAAAAAAAATTATTTTGAGAATACCCATTTTTGTAATCGAGCATTTCCTAGTTAGGGTGGAATTTTCGGAAAAACACAATTTGTTTCGTGGAGAGGCTATAAGTTAATCATTTCTTGCGGTATCGGGTTGAAATTTTGCTCGCCGTCTATTCACATCTATTTCAAGGTGTGTGTAAAATCTTGATATCGTATCTAAAAAGGCTGGTGTGTTATAAATTTTTAAAGTTAACAAAAGTCAAAAAGTTGAAATTGTCCTTTTCAGACTTATTTTAAACAAAAAGTCAGTCAGGGAAGATCGGATTGATTTGATGGTTGACATAAACTTGTTCTCTGAATTCTGGCGCAGTTTTTGATGCTCTCTAAAATGTTTTTCCTCATTTGTGTTCAGATCTATTAGACTTCAAAGCCAAACAACAAATTTGGGCACATTTTTCGTTTTAAATATTTACTAATTTTTCTAAAATTTTGATAGGAATGTGCTAGTGACTTTTGGAAGGGTGCAAAATAACTGCAACTAGCACATTTATATATGAGTTATGAACAACAAAACACCCTAAAATGCTTCCCTTTGAAGTTATTGGAGAAAATGTGATTTTTTGGCTTTGCAGATAAAAAATCACATTTTATAACACACCAGCCTTTTTAGATACGATATCAAGATTTTACACACACCTTGAAATAGATGTGAATAGACGGCGAGCAAAATTTCAACCCGATACCGCAAGAAATGATTAACTTATAGCCTCTCCACGAAACAAATTGTGTTTTTCCGAAAATTCCACTCTAACCAGGAAATGCTCGATTACAAAAATGGGTATTCTCAAAATATTTTTTTTTGGTGTGGAAACGGTGCGCTAGAAGGTCACTGAACTGCCTATGAGGTCATTTGGTCTGGACGGCACAAACCACTGTTTTGGTGTATGCCCCCTTAAACAACTTTCTATCAGATCACGTAAGATCAAATAACTTTACATAATTGCAAAGATGTAAAGAAAAATGATGAAATATAAATATGCATATGATATGGTTGTATAAGTCACCTGAATCGAACTTCAACTGTCAGGAGGAGATTTAGGCGAACGGCTGACCTCCAATCGGGTATTCGGGTATAAGCATCACCAATTACATTTTATTCCCCCTCTGATAAGATCCTGCTAATTTGGTCGAGCTAGGGAATGTATCCAGTAAATTTTGATGTGAGATTGTAGAAATAAGGGGACGTTCAGATGTTACGTTATCACTTTTTGGCCAATTTGTAACCCCCAGATCCTTCTAGTTCTTCCCTTCGTAATCAGTTTTACACATAGCTATTGTGTTAAAATTAAATTACACTAGTGCAATAATTAAAGACCCCTCCCTCTGCCTCCGCGATTACGTAATATTTGAACGACACCTAACAGAGTTTATGTGGTATAGATACAGATTCGGCTTCCTTTTGAAGAAGCATTATCTATCAAATAAATGAAATTAAGGTTTTCAGCTGTATGTTTATTTCTAACGTTTATGTGTTTAATATCTATTTTGATTCGTTCAATCGTATCTCGAACTTTCTTCAAGTATGACATTTAGAAGTCACGATATGTGCCGAATGGTTTGGTTGTATTACTATTAGTATTAGTCACACCGTAATGGTCGCTGCGACCCCTTCCAATTACATGACGGTACACGAATATGTTTAAAAAATTAATATCTGAATCTGAACTTCCATAACCATGGCAATCAACCAATGAGACACGTTCTTATGATAAAAATTCTCCATTATAGTAAGTCAAACACAACATTACACGAGCAACATATAAAAAGCACAAAAATCAACCACAACTAAACATGATAATTAGAATACTGCAGTATAACCAGCTATGTGTCATCAAATCTGACAGAGTTCTACAAGATGATTAGCACTGAAATGTCCTTAATAAGTCTTTAATTAAATCACCAAGTCGTCATAATCCGCTTTGTGCAGCAGTGGCACTCTATCCAAGAATCGTAATCACAGTCACTCGATGAATATAACACGAAGATAAGTAGAGTGGTCCAGCTCAAGACTCGGCGATGCTGGAGAGGGGAGGTAGAATGTGATCTCGGAGAATTGAGAACTTTGTCATGAGAAGACCAGTCTCGGTAGACTGTTTGGAGTAGAGACACAGGATATACTGAGCTACTGCTCCTACTGCAACCTGGTGATAAGGCTAGTTTCAAATAGGTTCACAAGAAAATTAGTACCAATAACAGTGCATGAATAAATCTGAGTTTATAATATTTCAATAACGGGGTACAGATAAGTAATTCCAGAAAAAAATTAGATTTCAAAAATCAAAGCACTTTACTAATGACTTTCTATATAATATCATGATTAACAACAAATTATCACAATCACATACCTTCCCCTGATCACATTCGATCATCAAGTTTTCTAAGTTGCCTCCTCGAATGCTATCACCGGAGGCAGCATTCAACTGAAACATTGGAACCATGAAATAAAGGAAGGCCCAAATCCTAGACACAAGATAGCGGAAAATATTCTGACCACATTGTTCCCCTTCACAGTAGAATACATACCTTCCAAATATGAGCTGCTATAGAAGCAGTGGGACGTTCACTGTCCAAGATAGCTTGAGCAATGGGACTTCCTGACTGATTTAACAACATTGCTGCGTATACTCCGCCAGTGTTAGCCTGATCAAGAGCCTTCTGTAGGGCTAGCGGTTTGAGTATCGACATACTGGAGCCTTCAATGGGTAATTGTTAAGTAAGAAGAGAACTTAAGTGTTATGGGACAATAAGTCGTTTACACCACAAATCCGGATAATACCTATTTTGGTTATCATATAGCAGATAAAAAGATTGGACGGGTATATCTTGGCTTAACAAACGAGAAAACGCATGTAAATAATTCTTTGATTTAACTCTGAAGAGCATGAAATTTGTATCAACTACTTGTTTTACAATCTAATTTGGAACAAATTATTTAAAGAATCAAAAAGTGTGTCAGAGCCGTTCAACAGTGGTTAAAAAAGAGTCATTGATACTGTAATAAAGTAAACAAGGCTAGTCAGCAAAGACGCATGTTCAGCGACCATGCATTTGAAAATCAAATCAAGATATTATGATATAAAAACGCGAGTGACCAGCATGATTAAACCTTTAAACTTCCACACAAATGCGCCATTGCGCGTAACGTCTATAAGATCTTGAACATTGGACTGCCCGGAAGTTGCGACTAGAGTTTTCTAATAACATTTTCTCAATATGAAAATATGTATCCTAAAAATCGAAGGGCATCTCATGTTACAGAATTAATCAATATCATCTGAGCACAAACTCAACTTGAACATAGTTTGTCAGAGCATAAATCCAATCTAAGAAATGAATCTCTTAACGATCTACGATTCAATATCTAAAAGAACATTTGAAGCAACATAATATATTGTTTGAAAAGCATTAATAGGATATCTACACATTATTTGCCAGTTAAAACCAAATTGAAGCTAACTTGTCCAGTGCCGCCGTCACTCAGGCAGCAGATTTATGGAATACTCGATACATACTACCATAGAGAATTACTTAAATCAAAATCACAACATCACCTCTTGCATCATAAATCAGTATTACAGGATCATTACAGCATGAGCAGGATGCATAAATTAGAACAATCCAACCCCCTTTAATCAGCAATTTCCGGTTAATAGGAGTGCAAAACATATATAGTTCAAATTCATAATGTTTTACACATCAAACCTGTGATTTCAGGAAGGGAAATTGAACAAGTAAAGAGGTTCTATACTATATAATTAATGTGAAACTTCACAAATTATCTACTGTAAATTGCATATTTTACAATCAAGTCATAATTAATCACTATGAATTAATGTACAAGATTATATAACACTGTAAATCTACTTCCATAACTGAAACACCAATTATACTCCCATTTGTTTCTCTTGTCGACCGCATCTTTCGAATGAAGCCAACCTAACCAAGATATTGGATACACAAAAGTACGACTAGAATATATCCGACAGAAATAAAGGTGCATATTGTCTGCCTGAACCACATCATGAAAGTGAACTGACTCATTATTATAATCTTCCTTCTCAGTACACAGTCTTAAGGTCCACAATGCAGCTTCACTAGGGACAGTTTTCAGAATAAACCCACATTTACCAGGTAGATTACACGAAGTAACTGAGGGGTGTTTGAAGTGGAACTTTAGTTTTGCTTCTTTGGACAGGAAGATAAGCGGCTGTATACACGTGTCTACACAATTAATGACAACATGATTATTCTTCTTTCCTTGAGATAAGACAAGCGATCCCAAGTCGAACGACGAACGACGTAAACTAATGTAATACGTATTAAATTGTGATGGTAAAAGTGACCATCTCGTCTGCCAGCAATATCTGCTAATCTAGTGGACAGTATATCAGTGTTAACTTTATAATCTATATTCTGATACTTGTTCCTGTACCAGTCCCATGTCCACACAGCTTCTATTGCCATCATCAAACCAGTAACATCCTCTGAAACAGATATCCACTCTAGAAGCTCCTCAAATGATAAGTTAAAATCCAGATCATGATAAATGTTAGGTATACTGTTACATCTGGACACCACAGCGGTCGATCTTACTTCACTTGTTGTAGCTAAACAGTCATCCAAAGAACCAATTTTGATAGATTTTGAAAGAAGCTCGAAGCACCATCTTATTTTCAAATCAGGAAGTCCTTTTAAAGTTGCAAAAAGCTGATTAAACAAAACTCTGTTTGAAGTAAAGCAAAGAGAGAGGTTCAAATTATCCAGCAGATACTCACAAGATACAGGAATATTAATTGAGCCCTGAACTTTCAACACTTCTAACAGCTGGTTACTCACAGTTTGTACCACACACTCTACTTCACAACCAGCTAGCTCTATCACCATGTCTAGCTTCTGTGTAGACAGTCTGTCTGCATTCTCCAAATACTTTTCTATAAACTCCTGTTTCCAGTTCAACATTTCTATCTTGTTGATGCTGATTTTCAGGAAATCTATGTTATTGAGGTTCTCAAATACAAAAGCTGCTTCCTCAAATAAGTAGAGTAGTTCAGTATAGGATGGTATTTTAACTGACTCAGCAACTTCAGTAAAATACTCTGCACACTTCCCAACAAGCCAAGTAACCTCAAACACATTAGCTATTTTGTTAATATCCCGGAATACTTCCCGGCTGATTCCCTCTGGAGTTCCAGAGTATGCCGCATCAACAAACAGCTGAACAGCAGCTTCACTGAACTCTAACATGTCCACACTGGTCATGTGAAGGGTAGTGGTCATGTGATCTATTACTGGACTGTTAAAGGAGAGGATCACTGAACTGGCTCGTACCTCACCTCCCTCACTTGTGTTCAGTTTTAGGTTGCTGTGAGTTGGAGATCCTATCAGGTGTCTTCCAAAATCCATAGGTACACTTACTTTTGGCGCCATACCTCTGAAAATAAAGTACAATTAAAGATGAAAATAATTCTATGATAGAATTGCTATTTGCAATGAAATGTGATGAATCTGAAAGAAAAGTAAGTTTAAAATTTGATGTGGTGAGTGAGCTCACATTAAATATTTTGATTAATATCAGATATTCAGTTACTTACTTTGACACTACTGAATTAACTCAACTGTTACATTTTACTTTATCAGTCCTTATACATTTACACACATCCGATGGTACCAAATTAATTAAAACACTCTAAATTCATAGAAATATTCAATTTAATAAATAACAATATTTAAATCAGAGTTAGCGGAGATTTTAAAATCAAAGAAAATATATTGTCACATTGAAAGTTAGATTAAAAGTATTAAAAATATTATGGAATGTACCAAATGTGGTTTACATTTCAACAATCAAGTCATAATTAATTACGATAATTTAATGAGAGTATCACATCTTATACAACACTTTAAATCTACTTTTATCACTGTGACCAAATATAGAACCCCAATTGTTTCTCTTGTCGACTGCATCTTTCGAATGAAGCCAACCTAACCAAGATATTGGATACACATAAATATTATCAATAGCAGAAAATATCTGACAGAAATAAAGATGTATATTGTCCGCCTGAACCTCATCATGAAAATGAACTGACTCATTATTATAATCTTCCTTCTCAGTACACAGTCTCAAGGTCCACAATGCAGCTTCACTAGAGACAGTTTTCAGAATAAACCCACATTTACCAGGTAGATTACACGAAGTAACTGAGGGGTGTTTGAAGTGGAACTTTAGTTTTGCTTCTTTGGACAGGAAGATAAGCGGCTGTATACACGTGTCTACACAATTAATGACAACATGATTATTCTTCTTTCCTTGAGATAAGACAAGCGATCCCAAGTCGAACGACGAACGACGTAAACTAATGTAATACGTATTAAATTGTGATGGTAAAAGTGACCATCTTCGTCTGCCAGCAATATCTGCTAATCTAGTGGACAGTATATCAGTGTTAACTTTATAATCTATATTCTGATACTTGTTCCTGTACCAGTCCCATGTCCACACAGCTTCTATTGCCATCATCAAACCAGTAACATCCTCTGAAACAGATATCCACTCTAGAAGCTCCTCAAATGATAAGTTAAAATCCAGATCATGATAAATGTTAGGTATACTGTTACATCTGGACACCACAGCGGTCGATCTTACTTCACTTGTTGTAGCTAAACAGTCATCCAAAGAACCAATTTTGATAGATTTTGAAAGAAGCTCGAAGCACCATCTTATTTTCAAATCAGGAAGTCCTTTTAAAGTTGCAAAAAGCTGATTAAACAAAACTCTGTTTGAAGTAAAGCAAAGAGAGAGGTTCAAATTATCCAGCAGATACTCACAAGATACAGGAATATTAATTGAGCCCTGAACTTTCAACACTTCTAACAGCTGGTTACTCACAGTTTGTACCACACACTCTACTTCACAACCAGCTAGCTCTATCACCATGTCTAGCTTCTGTGTAGACAGTCTGTCTGCATTCTCCAAATACTTTTCTATAAACTCCTGTTTCCAGTTCAACATTTCTATCTTGTTGATGCTGATTTTCAGGAAATCTATGTTATTGAGGTTCTCAAATACAAAAGCTGCTTCCTCAAATAAGTAGAGTAGTTCAGTATAGGATGGTATTTTAACTGACTCAGCAACTTCAGTAAAATACTCTGCACACTTCCCAACAAGCCAAGTAACCTCAAACACATTAGCTATTTTGTTAATATCCCGGAATACTTCCCGGCTGATTCCCTCTGGAGTTCCAGAGTATGCCGCATCAACAAACAGCTGAACAGCAGCTTCACTGAACTCTAACATGTCCACACTGGTCATGTGAAGGGTAGTGGTCATGTGATCTATTACTGGACTGTTAAAGGAGAGGATCACTGAACTGGCTCGTACCTCACCTCCCTCACTTGTGTTCAGTTTTAGGTTGCTGTGAGTTGGAGATCCTATCAGGTGTCTTCCAAAATCCATAGGTACACTTACTTTTGGCGCCATACCTCTGAAAATAAAGTACAATTAAAGATGAAAATAATTCTATGATAGAATTGCTATTTGCAATGAAATGTGATGAATCTGAAAGAAAAGTAAGTTTAAAATTTGATGTGGTGAGTGAGCTCACATTAAATATTTTGATTAATATCAGATATTCAGTTACTTACTTTGACACTACTGAATTAACTCAACTGTTACATTTTACTTTATCAGTCCT